ACCTGTGGTTGTCATGTGCAGGTCATTTTGTGGGCACAGGCTCATGCTGGGTCTTCTTCCACATCTGACCCCTAGGAAATGGCTGGCTAGCCAGGCTCCTCTCAGCACACTGCACATCTTTCCCTGGCCTCATCCCAACCCGCACCAGCAATAAAGAGGGGAACTGCAGGAGACTACCTACCAGGGACACTGGAATCCAAGTACCCAGCTCCTCCAGGTCAGGGACAGTTTTCCTGTCTGAGATGTGGCTCAAATGGAGTAGATGTTAAAAAAAAAAAGTCCTCTGTAGCGCAACACCTACTTGACATCCATTTGCATATAATTTGTGGCAAAATGAAGCTGGGTCTGCTCACCACCTCTCTAATTTAGTTTAGCATCAGCTCTTTCAAGTCTTTGCTAATCCTAGAGATCAAGGGGTGAACAGTTCTCTCTGCCATCCTCTTGCTCCCCCCATCCTTGGCTCCCTCCATCCTCTGTGAAATGCTGCATCATCAAAGGACATTATTCATGGTGGACCTTTGCTGAAGCCCTGCTTCCCTGGTGCCTGGGCTTGGGGGCAGGGATGGACCGGGGTCGGGGGGGTTGTTGATGAAGAGATGGGACCCTGGAGGCTTTGGTTCTCAGCTCTTGATCTAACTTGCTCCTCTTTTGGCCTCTCCCCTCTCTCCCCCTCATCTCCAGCCTACCTCCTTGGGCTTCCTTCTCCGGATGGATGCTGGGGAGGGGAGATGGTTAGGTACAATTAGGAACAGCATCTGAGCTTCTTAAGGGGCTGAACCAGCCATACCATTTGAATATAAATGTAAACCACCTCCCCACTTGTGTCCCTCATCCCACCAAGTGCTCCCTGCTCACACAGCCCTATAATTAGCTGGGTAATGGGAAGCTTTGGATGAGTCCTCATTAGCTTCTCACATATTAAAGAGGCCTTGAGACCCAGCTGCTGGCTTTACTCTGAGGGGACCTCTTTCAGTATGTTCCATGTCCCTGGGAGTGTAGGTGGGGAGACAAACACTTCAGAACCCACGAGTGCTTGAGAGGCTCCATAAAAGATCCCATTTGAGTATGAGATACAAGAAGCTTGTTTTTGTTTTTTTTTTAATATAAGTATACCTACCTACTCCTCATTTATCAACTGTATCGTTATCCAACATTTTGCATTTACAACAATAGTAAAATAGACTATTTTGTGCATTAATGACATACATCTGGCAGTAACAAATGCTGGGGTTTGAGGCAAGAGTAACATTGGCTGTGATAGTTAAGGTTATGTGTCAGTTTGGCTGGGCCATGATGGTCAGTGGTTTGATGTTATGTAATGATGTAATTTGGCAGTTATGTAATGATGTAGTCATCCTCCATTTTGTGATCTGATGTGGTCATCCCTCATTTTTGTATAATGCTGATTTTCACATAACAACCTGGTCTTTGGAACCTAACCATGTTGATAAGTGAGGAGTACGTGTAAATATTGAGCACCTGTTACATGCCAGACACTTTAGAGCTAGGGATACAATAGCAAAGAAAACAGACTAAAACCCCCACCCTCATGATGTTACATTATAGTGGGGAAGTAAAGACAATAAATCAGTAAAATAGTTAGCATGTTATAAAATATGTTCTATGAAGAACAAAAAGCAGGATGGGGATATGGAGTATTGGGGTGGTTTTGATTTTAAATAGGGTGATTGGGAAAAGCCTCAGTGAGCAGAAGTCTTTGTAGTAAACACACAACAGAGATAAGGCTTTCTTCCCAATCCCAAATTGTAGAAGAGTAGAAGGTCTCAAGTCTCCAAGTCTTTTGGAGGGGTGGGCCACCCACTTCCTCTGGAAGCTAACTATTCCCTCTATAGGTCAGAGTCCACACCAGTGCAGTAAAAAGAACGGGAGATTTGGAGTGAGAAAAACTTGAATTTGGGGCTGTTCTCCACTGATTAGTAGCTATGTGTCCTGGAGCAAGTGACTTCACCTTATGAGCCTCAGTTTCCTCATCTGAAAAATAGGAATATTTCCTACCTACATAGGTTGTATGCTTTCACCGTATTTATTCAATCTGTATGCTGAGCAAATAATCCGAGAGGCTGGACTACATGAAGAAGAATGCGGCATCAAGATCGGAGGAAAACTCATTAACAACCTGTATTATGCAGATGACACAACCTTGCTTGCTGAAAGTGAAGAGGACTTGAAGCACTTCCTGATGAAGATCAAGGACTACAGACTTCAGCATGGATTGCACCTCAACATAAAGAAAACAAAAATCCTCACAACTGGACCAATAAGCAACATCATGATAAACAGAGAAACGATTGAAGTTGTCAAGGACTTCATTTTACTTGGATCCACAATCAACACCCATGGAAGCAGCAGTCAAGAAATCAAATGATGCATTGCATTGGGCAAATCTGCTGCAAAAGACCCCTTTAAAGTGTTAAAAACCAAAGATGACACCTTGAAGACTAAGGTGTGCCTGACCCAAGCCATGGTATTTTTAATCAATTGCCTCATATGCCTGTGAAAGCTGGACAATGAATAAGGAAGACCGAAGAAGAATTGATGCATTTGAATTATGGTGTTGGAGAAGAATATTGAATATACCATGGACTGCCAGAAGAACAAACAAATCTGTCTTGGAAGAAGTACAGCCAGCATGCTCCTTATAAACGAGGTTGGCGGGACTTCATCTCAAGTACTTTGGACATGTTATCAGGAGGGACCAGCCCCTGGAAAAGGACATCATGCTTGGTAAATTAGAGGGTCAGAGAAAAAGAGGAAGACCCTCAACAAGATGGACTGATACAGTGGCTGCAATGATGGGCTCAAGCATAACAACAATTATGAGGATGATGCAGAACTGGGTGGTGTTTCGTTCTGTTGTACATGGGGTCGATATGAGTCAGAACTGACTCAATGGCACCTAACAGCAACTTGGTGGTGGTGATGAAAATCAAATGGATTGCTCTATGCCGAAGCACCTTGCAATGTTCAAGCCCTGCGACTTTCTATGTTGGGAATGACTAGTCATTCTGGTGGTCTTCACTTTGCACCTCCCCTAGTCTTTCAGCCTCTTGTCTCTTTCTGGGTTTTGTCTCTGATTCTGACTCTGACTCTTTCCCTGGGGCTCTCTACCTTGGGTGTGAAATGAGCAGGATAAGCCCCCTCAACAGTGAGGGGTGAACCAGAGGGAGACAGGTTAGAGCAGAAAACGTGTAACTGAGGAGAAAAAGAAGCAGCAATTAAGAGATCAATGCAGGGGTGGAGGCGAGGGTATGGGAACAGCTTAGCTATCATGTTCTGTTCCTCTCCTCTGGGCTTACAGCAGGAGGGATAGAAGTTAGAGTTCTGGAAGAATGAAACTAAGTCAAGGCTGATTCAGGATCAAGAAGGAGTAGGATGGGGGGCGCCAAGAGGAGAGCCATTAGCTTGGAGGAGCAGTGGAAGGAGGCAGACACTGGAGGCTTTTGGATTCAGTAGCAGGGGGGAAGTACTGACCCTCACTTGGTATTAAGTACCAATGTGATGGGGCAGCTCCAGCATTCCACTTGGGGCGGTTTCCAGTGGGGAGGAGGACAGAGGGAGAAGTGAGGACTGGAGGGGACCCTAGACTCACCTCCCAATCCTCAAGGATCTCAGCCTGGTCGTCCAGGTGGTGGGAGGCCCAGAGAGGCCCCTAGCTAAAATTGTTCTGGCCTGGCAGTCAAGCTCGAAGCTTTAAAGGGAGAAGGAGGTGGTGGATGAACAAGTTGGAGAAAGAGACCCAGGGGTCCATACCTATTGAGCTAGACCTAGCATGGAAAATTTGTGAAAACCACACACAGCATTCCTTAGAGTGTGTGGCTTAGGTGCAGTTGGAAAGTGGACTGTTGGACAACTTGAGCTCACTGCTGGGTTTGTGGCTGGCGTGTGTGTGTGTGTGTGCGTGTGTGTGTGTGTGTGTGTGTGTGTGTGTGTG